ATTAATTTTGTCAATAAAGATGTTAATAATAATAATAGTGTGCAGGTTCGAATCCTCCTCATGGCTTCTACTGATAGTTTTATATAATGTGACTTCTAAAACATAACTTACCGAGGTTAGGTAATTGTACCAAGCCAGTATGAATATATAGCTCTTGGAAGGAGCTGGGATGTTAGGCCGGAATGAAAGAGTTGTACCGAACAACTTGGCTCACTGGGTGATCGAACGACGACCCTGCAAGAAGCGAGGCCGTTGATGTGCCAATCAAAAGGGTTCGGTAACCATGCTTGTAATCTTGAATTAGATTGACACTAAGTGTTGAATTAATTTGTTTAGCAAGTGTCCAAGAACTTGCAAACTGTAAAAAAGTAAGCCACTTGGTTGATGAAGGAATTCCTTATTTCTCTTTGTGTGAGGTTTGTGGTCTTGTACAAGTGCTCGTGCTATGGCGGGGGGGGGGGGGGGAGCAACACCCAATTGACCAATATCAAATGAATGGGACATGAAATCTCTGTACCTCAGGGTACAGTCCTTGCACCACTGCTTTTCCTTATTCTCATATCAGATATAGATAAAAGTAAGTCACAGCTTCGTGTCATCCTTTGTAGATGACACAAAAATCAGTCTGAAAATTCCCTCTCCAGAAGACATTGAAAAATTACAAGCAGATATTAATAAGTTTTCGACTGGGCAGCAGAAAGTAACATCATGATTAACAGTGATAAACTCCAAGTACTCAGGAACGGTAAAAATTATAACTTTAAACATAATACAGGGTACAAAACACAATCAAATCTCCCCATAGTAGGAAAGCAACACGTAAAGGATTTGGGAATTATGATGTCTGACGACCTAACGTTTAGGGAGTGTCTTTACCAAGCAAATATTGAGTCAGCCAGAAAAAATGATAAATTACGAGAACTTTTAAATCCAGGGATCCCATCACATTGGTTGTACTATTCAAATCACTTGTGCTGTTCCGTCTTGAGTACTACTCGGTACTCATTTTCCTATTCAGAGAAGGAGAGATTGCCGAAATAGAGGGAGTTCAAAGAACATATACGACATACATAGACGCAATTAATCGCGATTAAATTATTGGGATCGTCTCAAAGCTTTCCAAATGTATTTGCTAGAAAGAAGACGAGAGAGATGTCAAATAATATACACCTGGAAAATACTGGAGGGCCAGGTCCCAAATCTACACAGTAAAATAACAGCATACTGGTGTGAACGATATGGAAGAAAATGCAAAATAGAACCAGTGAAGAGCAGGGGTGCAATAGGCGTAATCAGAGAACACTGTATGAACATCAGAGGTCCGCGGTTGTTCAACATCCTCCCAGCGACTATAAGAAATATTGCTGGAACGATCGTGGACATCTTCAAGAGAAAACTATATGGTTTTCTTCAAGGAGTACCGGACCCAATGGTGGATGTGTGGACCTGCGGGCCGCTCCAAGCAACGGACTAGTGGACCAAGTTCTCACAAGTGAAGCCTGGTCTTGGGTCGGGTTTGGAATAGAACTCCTCCCAGAACCCCACCAAGCAGGAATCAACAAAATTAACTCTAAAAAGATTCTCGAACACTGGAAGAGGGGAGGGGGGGGAGACCTTTGACAAGCCGCCGGCTTCTTGTCCTCGTCGAGGCGACTGGAGGTGATGGTTCTGTGATAAAAAAAATCGGGTAAATATTTAGAGGTTGATATAACTCGTCCTTTGGGAATACGATCATATAAAATAGAATGCGAGCACATGAGACAGGGAAGCACACAACGTTTAAAGCCGCCGCCATGTTCAACACATGATGCGCAACTATGTTCTGGAGCATAATGACCCCAGCTTATCTGTCTCTCTGTCTATTGTTCCGAGTAGCTGAATCTATAACAAGTTCCAAGTGGCACGGGCTATGGTGAGCCCGTAGTGGACTTACCTGGCACAGGAGCGATGCTGTGTGTGTGTGTGTGTGTGTGGTTGTGTGTGTTGTGTGTCGTCTGGCTGTCGTTAACACCTCTTAATCAGTGGAGTAATGTAAGCGTGTTGTGGTGGTGAGGGGAGCGGGGCGAGTGAGCTTGGAGGCACTTGGGTGACGGTGTAGAGGAAGGAGCACCTCGCCAGTAGCTGAGGCAGTCCACTTCTCGTCTCACCTGTGCAACGGCGCGGCTTGGTTGGCGGCGGCGGCGGTGGGGGGAAGGAGGAGAGGGGGAAAATTAGTGAGAGAAGAGGAGTGGTGTGAGGGTTTGTGTTGGAGTAGCGTGGGCGGTCGATGGTTGTGGTGTATCGGAGATAGTTTTCCCCCCAGAACAGCCTTCCTTTGTCTGTGGCGGTGTTGCAGAGTGGGCGCTCAGAGCCGGGTCGTGTACACACACATCTTGTGACTGCTGACCATTGTCAAGGTGGAGGCAGCGCTCCTGACGGCCGGTGTAACATCATGTACACTTCAGGCTTTTATAGATGCTTCTAATATTTTGTCAGTAATACAAATTTCCTTCATCATATATACAAGGAAGGAAGTGTGGGTAAGTGGGTGGGTATTAACATTTAGTTTTCAAATCTCATGTTTCTCAGTTTGGCTTGAGTCCCAGCGAGTCGAGTTTCATGTCTTCAGTGGAAATTGTAGCGTAGAGAGGCGGGTGTTGAAGGGGGAGGAAGTTAGTTACTGGGTAGAGAGCGAGCAACACGCGGGGAGGGTTGCCTGCGTGTGTGGCCGGACACAAGTCTCCGTGTTCTAGGGACACATCCCTCTGGTCTTGGCCCGAGTACGGTAACTCTGTTGGGGGGGGGGGGGTTGTCCCTGTCGCCCTTACTCTCAGGGGGAGACGACCTCAGAAGCCTCGTCGTCCTCCTGTTGTGTGGGGTTACCTGGAGGTGATTTCCGGGGCTTAGCGTCCCCGCGGCCCGGTCATCGACCAGGCCTCCTCGTTGCTGGACTGATCATCCAGGCTGTTGGACGCGGCTGCTCTCAGCCTGACGTATGAGTCACAGCCTGGTTGATCAGGTATCCTTTGGAGATGTTGGTAAAGTTCTCTCTTGAACTCTGTGAGGGGTCTGCCAGTTATGCCCCTTATGTGTAGCGGAAGCGTGTTGAACAGCCTCGGTCCTCACGGGGGTATTCTGCACATCCTGCCATGCCTTCTGATCTCGTGTGATGTTATTTCTGTGTGCAGGTTTGGCACCAGCCCCTCTAATATTTTCCACATGTAAATTATTATGTATCTCTCCCGCCTGCGCTCAAGAGAATACAGATTTAGGATCTTTAGTCGGTCCTAATAGTTAGATGTTTTCCTGAGTGGATTCTAGCAGTAAAGGCTCTCTGCACGCTCTCCAGGTCAGCAATTTCTCCAGCTTTGAAAGGTGCTGTCACTGTGCAGCAGTACTCCACTCTAGAGAGCACTAGCGTCTTGAAAAGTATCATCGGTACAGCATCTCTGGTGTGAAAGGTTCTTGTTATCCAACCTGTCATTTTTCATGCAGTTGTGACGGCTACTTTATTGTGTTCTTTAAAGGTAGGGTCTTCTGACGTGAGTACACATGAGTAATATTTATTTTAGGGTGGTTCGTGGTCACGTGAGGTGACTGTGAATGGACATAAATTCCATTTCCTCAGACTTGGATGATCGCTTCAACGTCTGCTCTATTTTTCGACCTCCCTGTTTAGCTTTATTTTCCTTTCTTGTGATAGCCGTGTCTGCTTAAGCATTTCCGTTACTTTTCCTTCTCCTGTACAGTCGTCTGCGTTCTCTTTCTAGAGTGGTCCTCTTTCTGCCCCTCCTCACAGGCACGTGCTTCAAGCAGACCTTGTATGCTTCAGCTGTCAGTTGAGCTATTCCCTGTGTGGGAGTTTTGTCGCTTAAGACAGTCTCCCATTGAATGTTTGCAAGACTTATATTTTTCCCAGTTGATCATCTTATTGTTGAAATTGAATTGATTGAATACTCCTCCTCGCTTCTTGGGTCTCTTGGACCTACTACAGTTATTAATGTTAGTTTGCGCTTCACTGAGCTTATGGTCTGAGTATGTAGTATCTGAGATTGTAAGGTCTCTGATTAGCTCGTCATTGTTTGTGAATATCAGATCTAGTGTGTTTTCGTTCATAGTTGGTTCTGTAATCTGTTGGTTTAGCGAGAATGTCACAATCTCAACAGTTCTCTGACCTTCCTGGTTGGTTACCTGCTATATTATTGTTTACTATTCTCCATCTTAAACTGGTTTGATTGAAGTCTCCAAGGAAGATAATATCTGGCACTGTGTTAGCTAGGTTATCAAGGATATTCTCTATTTTGTGCATCTGCTCTGTGAATTGTTCCGCTGTTGTATCTGGCGATTTATATATTAGAATAATAATTAGGTTTGTTTTTACTACCTTGATTCCAAGTACCTCTACCACCTCATTGGTTGAGCTTAGTAACTGTGTGTATACCAGGTCCTCTTTAATAGTCAGAAAAGCCAGAGAAAATAATAACTTGCTTTCAACTATACTGATGAAATGAAGATAAAATACGCATACATACATAGCGCAGACTTAATGGTTAGGTTGAGGTTGCGTTTGGTGGGGGTAGGTGTTATGACAAGTGCAGCTTTAGTTTTATGTTGACCGTTGGATTTTTATTCCTAAAACAAATGTCTATTCATAAAGATTTTCTGCACCAGTAAAATACAGTATTGTACTACCATTTGTTCGTACAGCTACATGGACTGTTGGGTACAGCCGGGGGCCTCGCCTCGTGCAGGTCAGGCAGCGTGTGATCTCTAATGCTCCAAGTATTTGGGTAATGTTTCTTCCTCTGTTCTCTCCCAGTTCCTTGTCCTCTTATCCCTTCAAAGTGCTGTATAGTCAACTGGCTTGAAGCTTTCTCCTCATAATTACCTACATACTTTTTCCCTGCATTGTGTTATGGATTAAACAGGTTCTGCACATAATTTAAACAATAACCTTTACTTTAAACTCATTAACATTGCCTTATTTGCTCGAAATTGAGTTCCATTTTTTGTGTTTCCAGATCAGCGGGTTTGCTGTGATCATTGTGGGCGCTGTGATCGAGGCCAACTACAGGACTTACCTGGACTTCATCTCGTCCAGCTATGTGTCCGCCTCGTCCATCCTCATTGCTGTGGGCGTCCTCATCTTCGTGGTGGGGTTCTTTGGCTGCTGCGGCGCCGTCAAGGAGAACCACTGCATGGTCGTCACGGTAAAAACAAATTGGTTTGGTCAGTCATTTGAACACAGTGTAACCCTTGAAGTGCATCTTTTGAGGGGGGGGGGGGAGGCTATGGTCCCATATACCGTATACCTGGAGTGGGTTCTGGGACTATTATTCCCTCAAGAGAAAAAGAGTGCTAGACAGTTTTCTTAAGTGCCAGGAGCCAGATTCACGAAGCAGTTACGCAAGCACTTACGAATCTGTACATCTTTTCTCAATCTTTGACGGCTTTGTTTATAATTATTAAACAGTTAATGAGCTCCGAAGGACCAGGAGGCTGTTTATAACAATAACAACAGTTGAATGGGAAGTTTTCGTGTTTGTAAATTGTTTAATAAATGTAACAAAAGCCGTCAAAGATTGAGGAAAGATGTACACGTTCGTAAGTACTAGCGTAACTGCTTCGTGAATCTGGGCCCAGAGCAACAGGGCTGGACCAAGCTCTCACAAGTCACTTTGGGAGTAGAACAACTCCCAGAACCCCAGCTACAGTGCAGGTATGGCTAGACTTGACTTGTAATAACTTGGTCCAACAGGCTGTTGCTTGGAGCTGCTTGCATATTAAATTATGTATTAGCTAAGGTTAGTTGGATAAGCTTAGTTTATAAAATGTTGGAATAATTTTGTTTCCACTAACTTGTATTATTTAAAACAGTTTTGGAACTGAACTATTTAGTACAAAGGTTAAACAAGAAAATGGTAATTCCAAATTTAATTTAAGTGTTGGGCACAATAAAAATTGAATACCCAGCTTAACCTAGATTGTTTGGTTATGCGTAGATTAGTTAATGTTGGCGGCTTGATTTTTGTTTTGGTGCCCGCCCGTACGCACCCCCTCTGGTGGGAGCCTGGCCGCAGGCATACACATGTATGAGGGAGGAGGATTGCCTCACTATGCATACAAGTGACGGGAAACTGCCATGGATGTATACACAGTCATACTCTGCCTCTTGGTGTATAGTTTACTTTTAGTCATGGACAGGGTCCAGGAATACGTGTGTTTGCTGGTTGGTCCATAAGCTGTTGTGGTGGGCTTCACACACACCAGAGTCTGATTGGCTTTAAGCCCAACACCAACCCCCCCCCCCATAAAACAATTACGTAATTGAATAATGTCATGGTGCCATAAAGATTATGGGGGGAGGAAAGGCTCCCTCCCCCCCTGCGCTCAGCAGTCTATTAACTTATTTATTTTGGCTATCACTTGCCAAGTGAGAGTACAGTGCTGTGTATAGATGCTCGTCACCGAGTCTTCCCTCATAATTATAGAGCTGCTGCATTTAATCAACAATAGATAAATAATGAGATAAAATAACTTGTGTTTATTATTCGCTGTGAAATTATAGTAAAGTTTATTTTCAGTTTGCTGTGCTGCTGTGCATAATATTTATCCTGCAAATTGGTGTAGGGATTGCCTCGTACGTCCTGCGCAAGAATGTGGAGGACTTCCTGCACCATAACATGCTGGTCTCCATGCACAATTACACAGTAGACCGTCCTGGGATCTACAAGACTTGGAATGTCATTCAGCATGAAGTTAGTGATTCCTTTAAGTCTCTTCTCGTAATTTGTTTTTTCCAAGTATTTAGTATAGGGTCAATAATTTCACCTCCTGTCTTTGTCCCCTAATTGTGTTACCTTGAAGGCTTTAATCTTTAACTTGTGACTTGTTTGATATGGTATTTAAGATTTAATGCCTTGTTTTGTGTAGTACTAGACACGGCCCTTGTCACCACCACCTACCATTACTACCACCACCACCCCCCCTACCATTACTACCACCACCACCCCCCCGCTACCATTACCACCACCCCCCTACCATTACTCTTGTACCGTATATGACTTACTTGGAAAACACTCCAGCATGTGTGTACACGCATCTGTTCTACTGTATTAGTTTTCTTTGGTAGAAGCAGTGTACTCACCTAGTTGTACTCGCCTAATTGTACAGGCGGGGGTTGAGCTTTGGCTCTTTATTCCCGCCTCTCAACCGTCAATCAACTGGTGTACAGGTTCCTGAGCCTACTGGGCTCTATCATATCTACATTTGAAACTGTGTATGGAGTCTACCTCCACCACATCACTTCCTAAGGAATTCCACCTGTTAACTACTGACACTGAAAAAAGTTTTTTCTAATGTCCCTGTGGCTCATTTGAGTACTCAGTCTCCATCTGTGTTCCTTTGTTCGTGTACCACCCATGTTAAACAATTTATCCTTATCTACCCTGTCAATTCCTCTGGGAATTTTGTAGGTAATGATCATGTCTCCCCTTACTCTTGTCTTCCAGTGTCCTGAGGTGCATGTCACGCAGCCTTTCCTCGTAACTCGTGCCCTTTAGTTCTGGGATTAGCCAAGTGGCATACCTCTGAACTTTTTCCAGCTTCGTCTTGTACTTAACAAAGTACAGGCTCTATGCTGGGACCGCATACTCCAGAATTGGTCTTACATATGTAGTATATAAGGCTCTGAATGATTCCTTACACAGGTTCCTGAAGTCTGTTCTGATGTTAGCAAGCCTCGCATATGCCACAGATGTAATTCCTTTTATTAATTTTTATTTAAATTTTGCCCCGAGAAGCATTTTATGTGGGCTTCAGGAGACAGGTTTGGTGTGATATCAACTCCTAGATCTTTCTCTCTGTCCGTTTCATGAAGTAATTCATCTCCCATTCTATATTCTGTGTTTGTCCTCCTGTTTCCACTGCCTAGTTTTTTACCTTACATTTACTCTGGTTGAACTTTAGTAGCCATTTGTTGGACCATTCATTGTCTGTCTAGGTCCTCTTGTAGCCTCATACTATCTTCCTCTGTTTTAATCCTTCTCATAATTTTTGCATCATCAGCAAGCAATGAGAGGAACGTTTACATATATCAAAAACAGTATAGGTCCAAGGACTGAACCCTGCGGGACTCCACTAGTGACGCTTCGCCAATCTGAGTTCTCATCCCTAACAGTGACTGTCTTCTGTTGCTTAGGTATTCCCTTATCCAATGGAGGTTACCTTGAGGTTACCTTGAGATGATTTCGGGGCTTAGTGACCCTGTGGCCTGGTCATCGACCAGGCCTCCTCGTTGCTGGACTGGTCAACCAGGCTGTTGGACGCGGCTGCTCGCAGCCTGACGTGAGAGTCACAGCCTGGTTGATCAGGTATCTTTGGTAGGTGTTTATCAAGTTCTCTCTTGAACACTGTGAGGGGTCAGCCAGTTATGCTCCTTATGTGTAGTTCTCTCTGTGTACCTGTTGCAAATCTGCTTTTCAATGGGGGTATTTTGCACATCCTGCCATGCCTTCTGGTCTCGTGTGATGATACTTCTGTGTGCAGGTTTGGGACCAGCCCCTCTACCATTTTCCATGTGTAAATAATTGTGTATCTCTCCCGCCTGCGCTCAAGAGAATACAGATTTTGGCTCTTTAGTTGGTCCCAATAGTTTAGATTTTTTATTGAGTGGATTCTAGCAGTAAAAGATCTCTGCATGCTCTCCAGGTCAGCAATTTCTCCAGCTTTGAAAGGGGCTGTCATTGTGCAGCAGTACTCCACTCTAGAGAGCACTAGCATCTTGAAAAGTATCATCATCGGTATAGCATCTATAGTGTGAAAGGTTCTTGTTATCCAACCTGTCATTTTTCTTACAGTTGTGATAGCTACTTTATTGTGTTGTTTAACCCTTAAACTGCACAAAACATGATGTGTGACATTGAAAGGGAAGGAGGGTATAATTCGAAAAATATTCAAATTATATTAAAATTACTTTAAAATATTCAACAAATCTCCAAGTTATTGGCTTCAGCTTTGTGAAACTTTCATCAAAATATTTTCAGAGATTGATTTTAGACTTATTTAAAATAAGAAAAAAGTTTTGTTGATAAAGAGAACAGCTCCTATTAACTGGAACTGATAGATAATTCAATAATAAAGAGATGCAAGCACCTGTCCGACGCACAAAGAAGAATAGTAGTAAGAAGTTTCCACAAAGTGGATATACAGCTGGTTTCTTTGTAGCATTGGTGAGTAATACATAATAACACAAGTAATACATAATAACACAATAGCATCAGTCTGGGTCGGGACCTCCCCGAACAGACTGGAGAATTCATCAAGCAACGACTGCACCTCTTCACGTTGGGCCATCTGCAAATGGGACAGTCCCTTCTCCACAGCATTCACAGAACTAGAATTATTGAGAATGAGATTAGTTGGGTCCCCAGAACAATCGTCCCCTCCCTCACTGGAAATGGAAACATTGGTTAGTGCAATGGGCCTGGGGCCCTGGAACTTCTTCAGCCGATTTACATGTACGAGCATTACCTGGTTACGCTTGTCAGAGTGCCTCACTTTGTACGTGAGGTCCCCAGTCTTTTCTGTCACAATGTAGGGGGCCTTCGTACTTGTGGGACATAGTGTTCCCTAGTCGAGGCTTTAATACTAGGACAGGGTCGCCAGGCTGAAATACCCGCCACTTAGCCTTAGCATCGTTACGTTCTTTCATCTTTTCTTGGGCCTTCTCAAGATACTTTAGTGCCGCCGCCTTGCAGTCCTTGAGTCTCTGGTGGTGTTGCGCAAAGAAAGCCGAACCTTCGGTTAACGTTACGTTCCCTAACAGATTCTCCTGTAACATTTGCAAGGGTCCATGAACTTTATGGCCAAAGACTAACTCAAAAGGAGAACAACAAAGTGAACTTTGTAATCCCTCTCTAGCCGCAAACAAAACATACGGCAAATTCTCGTCCCAGAAGGTGTGGGAACTCTTGCACGATGTCTTCAACATCTGCTTTAGAGTTAGATGGAAACGTTCAATTACCCCCTGACTCTGTGGATGGTATGGGCTGGAAACCTTATGAGTTATTCCATGGTCCTTACAAAATTGTTCAAAAATATCAGACTTAAAGTTAGTACCATTGTCAGTTTGCACGACCCGAGGCAGTCGAAAAGTGGAAAAAAATTGCAACATATGAGCAACAACAGTCTTTGCTCAGATGTTCCTTACAGCAAAAGCCTCTGGGTAACGAGTAGTGATACACATCATCGTGATTAGGTAAATATTACCAGACTTAGTTCTAGGTAATGGTCCAACACAGTCCATTACCACATGAGAAAATGGTTCCTCTGGCACGACAATAGGCCTTAGAGGAGCTTTAGGTGGAGTCTGGTTTGGTTTCCCAACAAGTTGACAAACAATACATGCATTACAAAATTTTGCCACATCACTTTTCAGCTTGGGCCAGAAAAAATACTTTACAATTTTGTGATACGTAATATTAATACCTTGATGTCCCCCCATAGGATCATCATGAGCAGCTGCCAAAACTTTCTCTATAGCAGGTCGGCAACATAACCTGGTGGACTACCTCCCACTCATTTGACAAGGGAGCACTCTGTGGTCTCCATTTTCTCATCAAAATCCGATCATTGTAGTAGTACCCAGTCCAGTTGCTGCGTCTACAATTTCTTCCATAGAGACGGCTGTCTCATGACAATCTTCAAGACTGGGGTCAGCTTTCTGTAACTCACTCAAGGAGGCATCTAGGCCTTGGTCAGATGTCATTGGCCGAGGCTCAACAGTGTTCTCCTCCACCTCCCCACTACTCTCGTTAGGTGGCGGTGGCAGGCTCTCCATAATGTCCTCGGCCACGTCATCGAGTCGGGCCATGAATGTGTTCACGAGGTCCACTTGGTTTTCACCACTCAAAGTTCCTCGTGTCCTCGGGATTTACCACCTTGGCAAGCACAGGGCTGCCCTTACATTTAAGTCCCATAGACCTGGTCACTGCGCACGCAGAGTACACAACATTATCCTCTGCGGCGGGTGAATCCAGGCAAACCTTAGGGGTAGGCAACATAATAGGCAGTCTGGAGTCCCCTACCTTATCCCCTGCTAAATCATTACCAACTATTACATCAACATTAGGGAAAGGTAGGTATGAAGTGACTCCGACTGTACAAACACCCTTGTGGAAATCAGATTCCAGGGTAATCTTATGGAGGGGTACTGCTAGAGTATCACTAGTGACACCCTCGACCAGTACCACCTCTCCAGTGTCAAGAGTGTCGGCACCTTGCAACGCACTCTCTAAAATTAGTCTGGATGGCACCGGTGTCTCGGAAGATCACCACGTCCTTCCAGGAAGAACCCTCAGACAAAAGTAGTCTCCCTTTCGATAAGAATGGGGTAAGCAAGTCCAACCACTGTGGGTTGGAGGTCTTACTCCCTAACCCTTCCGAAGGCCTCAAGCCCTGTGTCACAACTAGAGCATTGGGTCTTTTTTCCGGGTACAGTTGCCAACAACTGCTAATAGTGTGGTTTGGACGTTTACAGTGACCACAGATACGTCGGGGAGAAGAGACATTACTAACAGAATTACCCTTCGGTTCACTCTTAGGTATCGTAGGGTTAAACAATTTAACAGGGTTAGTTATGTCTGAAACAGAAGGTGCAGTAGTTAAAGGGTTAGAATGAGCTGGTCTGGACTGGCTGTGGGTATACGTTTTGCTACTCTGTGGGGTATAATTATTTTTATTGGGCCTTTTGCCCGCC